AGAGATCTGGCAATCGAAACATCTCGCCTCCGGAAGAAACACACTCCAGTGGTCCCCATAATCATCAGGACTTTGGGAACAATAGCAAGAAATTTCACACAGTATGATAAGCAGCTGGAAATTTCAGAAATGACACAAAAAATGGCAATATTTTGAATAGCATACATACTGCACCGATATTTAACAGATGCTGAGGTTAAAACTTGTGTCTGTTATATAATACCAGTCAGTGTTTTTATAATTTTTATTGACTCTGCCTGCCATTTTTCAACAACAACAACAACAACAACATAGAACTGCAGAGCTGTAAGGCACCAGCGGATCATTAAGTCCAGCCCCTGTCAAGGAGCTACAGTGGGGAATCAAACTCCCGTCTTCTTTCTCCACAGCCAGAGACCTCAACCACTAAGCTTTCCAGCAGTTTCACAACAAAATAGGTTAGGCCTCTAGAGATAGAAAGGGTTTTTCCCCCCTTGTGAGAACAATGAATCTCTAAGGAGAGCTGAAGGATCTTGATTTCCACTGTGGCGAAGCAAGCTGGCTGCCACAGGTGGCAGACTTGGAGGTGGGTGGGGGAAGACAGAATTAATGCCATGCGGTGCTCCAAAACTGTTTTGAAGGAGAGCTGAAACTCACTGAGAGATTATTGCTCTGACACTCCTCTCCACTACTGCCAAAAGTATCTCTGGGTATATGAAAAAAAAAATTTAGGATTTGAAGAGGGGGCAAGCACCTTTCTCAGATACCCGGGGCTATTGTCCTTCCTTCCCAAATACACCCCTTAGGGTGGAGCTTTCTAAGGGGAATAAGTATTGGTCAGCTGACGAAAATAGACAGTAGTTCCTCAAGCAGTTTGCACTTAAGCAAAGCAACAGTTGAGTTTTCCTCTTTAAAACCGTGCAAAACCAAATAATACACACACACACACACACACAAAGAATAACCTCTCCTCATGAAAACAGGCATATAGAAGAGTGTGGAAGGCACTTTAGCTGGTTTCTCTTCCCTTTGTTCTCTGATACCCTTGGAAAGTGGTGCTTTCTGATCCGTTAAAGTTGATTAATATATTCCTCAACATAATGTGGGTGGATGCCATAACTGAGACTCCACCAGCACCTTCTAGCTCCTTTATTTTGCAAAATATTCCGATCCAGTCCTGTACCTAAAGATTGCAAGTTGGAATACCACCAACAGAACAACCTTAAAACCATTTAGAACAATCAATAGTCCACCAACAAAATGAGGTTTCTGAAAGGCAGGGGTTAGTGGCTGCTCTTAGTCTTAAACCCGATACTTCCTTGTCGCTGAGGTGCGTCTAGACATGAGGTGCGCATATGGCCAGCAAGCCCCCCCCCAACCATCTTTCTTTTAACTGCTACGCCTTCCCTTCGTTCTGAGCTGCCTCGGCTCACTTTCCCTCTGGTTCTGTTGCAGTGACCTAAAGCTGAGGGTTCGCATCCTGATTGATGGGACATTGATCATCTTCAGAGTCAAGCCTGAAGATGCTGGCAAATACACCTGCATTCCAAGCAACAGTCTCGGCCGCTCTCCTTCGGCCTCTGCTTACCTGACGGTGCAATGTAAGTGCATTTGGCTCTCAAAGGGAATGGAGAAGGTAGCGCAGACGCGTTCACAAACAGCAGCCACACTTAATTGATGAGTTTTATTCTTACGAGCCATGGAGTTGGAAGTGTCCCTGTTCAGCCTCTCTGTAATTTTTTATGGGCGCTGCAGTAACCAAGCTGGCACAGTGGCAGTCTAGAGAAAGGAGGATAAATTGTGGCTGAATTACTGGGTTTTGTGAGGCAGAGGGGGATTGGCACACTCACTTGGTTAATTGCTTTGTTTAATGCAAGGCTGCCCTATTGAATCAAGCAGCAGCTGCTTCAGAAAGGACCATCATCTCGGTATTAACTGTCCCAGGGGAGGGTTCATCAGCCACTCCTCAGCCAGCCAGGCTATACACCCATTGGGTTTTATTTGATTATTTGCATCCTACTGCTTCCCAGTCTGCTGAGCACCCTTCAAAAGCGGTTTCCCACAGGCTCCCAACTGCATGTTGTGTAACCTGCGTTCTAGCAGAAGTTCAGAAACAGCCACGATCCAGAAATCCCCATAAAGTACAATGTGCAAAACGTACCGTGTAGATTGCCTATGCCAGGGCAGGCCAGTTTTCTTTCTTGAATACACCAGGCTCCCAACTGCATGTTGTGTAACCTGTATTCTAGCAGAAGTTCAGAAACAGCCACGACCCAGAAATCCCCATAAAGTACAATGTGCAGGGCAGGCCAGTTTTCTTTCTTTAATACACTTTGTGCATGGGGATGGAAAATGTAGCTTTCTAGATATTGTTGTCCTGCATCTCCCATCATCTCTCATCATCATGTAAGGTGACAAAGGACACAGCTAGAGGAGCGCACATTCCCCATGCCCGCCATATTTCCTCTTGTAGCTTGGCATGTCTATTGGAAGCCTTCCAGGATTACTCTGTCTCAACTGGCAGGGTTGTAAGGGTGAAGCAACCAGGGTTGTGCCTCGGGATGCCAAAACTAGAAGGCATGCCTTTCCCCCAGCTCCCCGTTACAAAAGCATCCTTAGATGGTTTGGTCTCATTGCCTGGTCTACTATCATGGGAAAAGGTGGGCCAAACTTGTGGGGCAGACCAGGTTTCCAAGAGGAGGCTAAAGGAATGGAGAGGCAGTGACAGAGGACACATCTGTCCAGGGCTCAGTAGACCAGGCCTTCCCCCATCAGAAAAAGAGATGGTGTCACATCTAGAGGAATGGCTGGCCTGTGCAGATTGTGGGTTGGTCAGGCCTCCCCTGTCATGTGGAGGGGCCTCTGACCTGGATGTGGATGATCAGGTCTCAGTCTTAGGCAAAAAGAAGCCACCATCTCTTGAAATAATCTGGGGAGAAAGCACCCTCTGCATTTATCTGGGAAGAGGCAGAGTAAATGTAAGCCAAAAACATAGTTCAGCACCATTCAGTAGTCACTGAGACCATCGTGCAGAATGGAAAGCGGTATAAGCTGATGCGCCATGTCACACACCTTGGCAGCAGTTGAGCAGAACTCTCCTCTTCTCCACTAGTACGTGTGGACAATTCTAGACAATATGGGGCTGTATTTTGGAGCTGAACCCTCACATTGGCTTGTGTATAATTCTCAAAGGATCATTCTCCGGGCAACTTAAAAGACCAAATCCGCATGTCTTCTTGCATTCAGGACTAGATCAGCTTGATATGCTCCCACAACCTGACCTGAGCAACTGTTGATGGGCATGGTATGGGAGCGGTTCATGCTCCATGAGATGTGGAAGTAAAGGTATTGCTTTGTGTCAGGTGGAAACGAGACATGGTGAATGATGGTGACACAAAGAGACCCTGCTTTTTCTGAAAAACACAATATGTATGCCTTCACTGTACACACAAAAGCAGTTGTTGGTCATACCTCTCTCCTGGGTACATGGTTTCCGTGAGAGGAATGATGGGGAATCTCAAAAGATTTCTCACTCAGCACTCCGAAAAATGTTCACAAATGTTTATTGATTGATTGATTGATTGACTGATTGATTGGAGAAGGAGAGACATGGAGCCAACATGCTGTGCTTTCAAAGCCAAAAACTTGTGTCAACTGCGTTTTTATTCTGAACACAACCTGTCTCATCTTCTGTGTTATGGCTACCCGTTGGTCCACTTGTGTGAAGGCTTCGGTGGGTTCCAGTTAAGAGCAGTGGATTGCCTCAGCTAAAAATGAAAATGAAAAAAAAGGTTTGGAAATGATTTGGACATCGGACGACTGGAGGCTGTAGAAGAGACAAGAGTTTGGTCTTTGAGTCCATTCATGTCATCACTTCATGAGTGATGCAGACCTTTGCTAATTTCACATGGGACATTTCCAAAACCGTGTGTTTGGATATGTTGAGATTCCTTTTTTTATTATTGAGAAAGAAATAGAAAATGCAGGTATTTGTCTCTATCCATAAATGTTTTAATAGCAGGAAGGTCCTTCTGTGTCTTCAAAAAAAAAAAAAATTAGAATGTTTTCCTTGCTCTGGACATCCCATTTGGGCTTGGCTTTGCTGGAAAATATAAATATATGGCTCACACAGGCTGGTGGGGAAGGTGCATAATTTTTGGCCCTAGTTTTCCTGGTCACTTTTTCTCCACCTCTGGAAAGCGATCTTGTTCAGCGTCACCAAAGTAGCTGTCAGATGGTGACGGCTTTTGGCCGGTCATTAATCAACCGAGTTGGATTCCCTCCAGTGACCTAGAAGTGAAAAAGCTCAGTGTCCCATTACCAATCCCCCTGAGTCTATGTTGATTGCATTTCCTAAGACACAGCACTAAACTGCATGTACACAAATCAAGTTCCTCATTACTTTCTGGATCCGAAACTGGGTTACGATGCCACGTTCGGGCATCGGGTGACCTTGATAAACGTTTGCTTGTTGGCAGCAGTCAGCTGTTTGCAAAGTGTGAGGATGGGTTGACGGAGTAGCAGACGTACAAGCAGTCAAAGGAAAACGGTGGTGGAAAGCAAATCACTGACTTTCCACAGAATCCTGCAATTATCCGTGTTCTGAATTAACACCCTGAATGCTATTCCAGCACTGCTGTAAAGGAATATATAAGACTTTCAAAAGATTTTCTTAATTTGAATCATTTGGATTTTAACTCTATAGGACTTTTGGTGCGTGTGAGAGAGTGTCTATGTTTGTGTTTAAATGTTGTCTGCGGCAAGCCATCATTATGGGGAAAAGCATTTTTTTTAAAAAAATGAAACCCTGTAAATCCAGGCAGAATAATAAGGATTATTTTCCTTCCCCCATTTCGTTTACATTCCTATCATTTACAGAACAGAGAGATTTAAGATGATTAGGGATTTAAGACCCCTAGTAAGGGCAGCATCATTCTTTCACTTGTGATTTGACTTGGGGGAACTCCTGAGGCTTTTACTGGCCCTCTCCCTTCTCATCACCTCAGAAAATACAAAACCACATAAGATTTCACAACAGCCATTGGATGAAAATGAGAAGAACTTGATGGAACTTGATAATCTGCCTTCTCCCAGTTTTGTTCATTTGACCAAGTATTGATGCTGCTCAACTGTATGAGTGGAAGAAAGTGTAAACACAGCAAGGTGGTGTGGAAGTACAGCCTCATAAGGAACCCAGCTATGGGCCCCTGATTTAGACATAGGCAGACAGAGCTTGGAAATAATGCATTAAACACATCCACCGACACGTTGTCCTTTAGAGATAACATTGTTTTTGCAAAGTAATGTAACACCTGCTGACATTGTTATGGGTCTTCAGTGTTATTAGTTCTGAAATGTGTAGTTCACTTCTAGAACATTGTTTTTGATGGATGATTGGTGTAGCTGCGTGGTTCCTTCTGACCTAGTCTGGGTGTAAATGCTTGCAAGTGAGTCTTGAGTCGTTGCCAGGGCAACAGCTTGACTCTGGTCCTGCTTACATGCTTTTCAGCCTTACTCCAAAGATTGGAGTAGCTTGCTTCTCTCTCTTTCATATCATATACCACATGTATATCCAACATTTCCCTTCATTGGCTCAAGAGCATCCCTGTCTTCTTCCCCGTTTTCATAGGAATCTTATAAGAGAGAACTGCGTGAAGCGGTTCATTGTTCTTGAGAGATTCTTCTAGCCTTATTGAAACGTGCTAAGCTCAAAAATTTGCTAAACTCTGAAGTTCTTTAGGATATTTGGAGGTTTCTCTTAAATAGGCACCCTGACATAACCTTGAATTTTTATTTTAGAAGGAACACCAAGACCAATCTACCTCCTGAAACTAACCTGGTAGACTGATTAAATGTATTTCTTTCAAAATTCTCTCTCTCTCTCTCGTTTTGCCCACATAAAAGTCTTCACTTTCATGGCATTAGCTAGACATAAAAATGCAGTCATGAGCCAAGGAAGAGACTATGTGAAAAGATAAAGAGATAAAGTAAACAGTGTGTGTATATAGGAAGGTTTAAGAGTTTATGAATAAGAAATCCACTATTATTACAACACAGTAGGTATTGTTCTGTTGTGCTAGTTTGAATGCACTGATAAAAAATATATTTTTTAAAAAACTTTCACCTCAGAATTCATTCTTACGAAGTGAATATCTACTTATCTCTTGTGTCAAAGATAATTCTTAGTATGTTCCTGTTTACATAAGAGGATTTGGAAGAGGTGTGGGTTACACCTTCCAAAGTTAAGTGGGAATCATTGTTTTATTTTTAAGTCAGGGTCAAGCATTTTAGTGCTAAACATGGAAGGATATGCATGAACACATGTGTGAATGTTCCTTTCCCCCTCTCCCCTCCCCTGTATACTTAATGTTTGAGTGCTTAGTCTAGATAGATTGATATGAAATGATTTCAGTGACTAAATCCCCAGGTCAATGCTAAGTGTTGTTATAATGGATCAGGAGCAGATAATGAGAAAAAGGATAATGGTCTTGGGAGACAGGAGTTTTATGCATGGTTACTGAATTAGCATGTGAGTGTTCGGCTCCACAACAAACATAGGCTATAGAATAGAAAACCATGAAAATGCTAAGTGTTGTTATAATGGATCAGGAACAGATAATGAGAAAAAGGATAATGGTCTTTGGAGACAGGAGTTTTATGCATGTTACTGAATTAGCTTGTGAGTGTTCAGCTCCACAGCAAACATCGGCTATAGAATAGAAAACCATGAGCCCAGGCTTATCTGGAAGATGAAAAAGGAACTGCTGGACGAAAAAACAAAACTTCTTCATAATTTTTGACTGCTTCTATCCCAGATCCTGCCCGGGTGGTGAACATGCCACCTATCATATATGTACCGGTAGGAATACATGGATACATCCGTTGTCCAGTTGAGGCAGAACCCCCAGTTACCATGGTGAAGTGGAATAAAGATGGCCGCCCTCTGCACATTGAAAAGGTAATAATAGAAACTGTTGTTTTTGCAGGATTTAAAATATCTGCTTGCATTGTTATCTCTCCTTCTCTTCGTGATGGTGTATAAGATCCTCCAGTTGCCATGCTATGCTCATGATAATTCGGTGAGGAAGGATAGTGCCTCAATAATCTTCAGGTACAAGTGACTGTTACTGGAGGGACCCTATTTCTATTCTGACACTTCTCAATTGCAGCTCACTCGCAATAGCTTAATTAATTTGCTTTAATGACCAAGGCTGAAGTCTAATATTTGCTTGTTAAGAGCAGAGTATCTCATCCTACTCTGGTGCTCAGCTCATTTCTGACAACATCCTCTCCCCGTAGGGCAAACACGAGGCTTTAAGAGGGCATCAAAATGTGCCGTATATTTTGCCTTCTTCCATCCAATCAACAGCAACCTCCCCGTATAATGTATCACAGAGAGTTTATTCTTCCTGTCACTGCAGGAGACAAGCCTCATTAATCTAACCCCAGTGGAGCTGCAAAGTGTCCTCCTGCAGATATGACCATATTTGGGGGGGGGGGTTGGCAGTTAAAAAGATCCCTTTTTTAATGAGCCTCCGTCTTGCTCTTCCCCTGGCTTTAGAAATCCTATCAGTGATTTTAATCATTTTAAATATTTAAACAAAATATTCAATATTTAGAGTTTTCTTTAAAGATTAGCATCTTAAAAGATTCTTTTCTGACTGTTTGAAATGGGTGAAAGTCAGTGCTTCAACCGCGAGGGTGGTTCAAATCATGTGCGTAATCCAGCCAAAGCTGAGCACTCATGTCTTCCTCCACCACCAGAGAGATTTATGCACACGCCTCTCACTCCCATTGAGATCAGTGAGAGTTTATGGGGGTCTAATGTTCTTGTCACAAGATTGTGCCCCCTTTCCACCAAGAGTGGGAATCTCATCTGCAGAACCATTTCTGCAATCAGAAACTGAGATTTATTTCCCTGCTCAGCACATATAGAACTTTCTCGGCCACGTTTCTGCGCCCAGGTTTGAGTCATCCAATACCTTCTAGGTGGAGAAGGAGTCAGGTCCATGGAGGAAAGTTTTGGCAATGGCTGTTTAGTGGCCTTGTTCACCCATGACGTCTGTGCTTTATCTTGTCTGCTAATGGTGTTGTTTTCACAACAAATCCCGTTTAGGCTGAACTCCCAGTGTCCTGGGTGCCATCTAATCTTCAGTCTTGGTCAACTGACACCAAAGTAATTCTGAAACTATTATGGCTTGCAAACCCCTAGCATCTAAATGGTCTCAGATAGATGTTCGGTTTTGTTCCAAATCCCCTTTGAATTTGGAATTCATGTAGTCTCAATCCTTTGGACGTGAGCTCCTGTCACTTGTCCCAGCTCCTGACATTCGAAAGCATGTAAAAATGTGAGTAGATAAATAGGTACCACCACGGTGGGAAGGTAACGGCATTCCGTGTCTAGTTGCACTGGCCACGTGACCACAGAAACTGTCTACGGACAAACGCTGGCTCTACGGCTTGGAGACGGGGCTGAGCACAGCGTCCTAGAGTCAGACACGGCTGGACTAAATGTCAAGGGGAACCTTTACCTTTAGAAGTCTCAAGCCTTTAGGGTTTTAAGCCTAAAAACACAGGCTTGCTGATTTTATGGGGGCAGTATTAAGGAGAGCATGTAATGCATTTTTTCCTACAGTCCAGAGAAGCTTACAGTAGAATAAAGAGCTGCATTCTTCAACAAGGGCTACCACTCAGGCTTGCTTTGAAAGGTTTGACATCCTGACTGTAATGATAATGGGAATAATTGGTGATCCTTGGTGTCTTTTGTTCTTGCTGCTGCTTTATCTTTTATATAACCCCACAAACAGCCATTAGATAGCTGTGGCTATTGAGTGCTACTGACCTGAGCTAGATTCAAACTGATGCTAAGAGGAGAAATTGGCCACATTTCATTAGCAGGGCTCTGTGTCAACATGTTCCCCTGAAGCCATACATCTGTGCTGTCCAAGTAGGCCAATCACAATGACCGGCCATCTTCCATCTGTCAGCAAGGGACGGATTGCAACCTCAATCCAAAATGTTGACAAGGGATTTTGATTGATGCATCCCCTTTCAAATCCAGAGAGCCACCAGTCTGGATATTTCTTCTCTGTGCATCGTAGTTGCTGTTGAGTTTTGTTTTGTTTTTGGCAAAGAAGGGAGAGATACAGCTGGAAAAAGGGCTGAGCCACTCCTTAAACACCCCCCCATTAAAAACAGTGGTTTGATTGTTTCTTCTGCCATCAGATTGTGAAAATGAAATGGGATGTGGATTTGGGCAGACATTTGGACCGGTCTCCTAGGAATAAGCAGAACTGTTGTTCAGTGTTGGAGTGATTGAGCAGGTCAGGGAAAGTGTTGGATTCCATTCTAGCAGAACCCTGGAGGAAACAGTGGACTCTGGAATTCAATGTACCTTTCATGCAAAGAATACATCAAGAAGCCTTGTTGTGTCCAGGGAGTATCTGCAGGCCAAACTTTGCACATTCTGGCTCTTGAAACACCCACTACATTGGGACTTTCTGGGTCCTAGCATGGCCTGGGATTATAACCATCTGGATTGTAGTGGGATTGGACATCATAAGCCCCAAGAGGTAACTAGGTTTCTAATCTGATTTTGTGGCCAGATCAGACTCAGTCCCTATCCCTGTTTTCAGAAGGCTTTGTCAGCAGGTTGACCCTAGCCTTATTTATTTATTTATAAGATTTCTATCCCACCCCTCTAGAGCAAGGGTCTACTCTTATGACCCATCTCCTGCTAAATGGAGAGTGAAGCAGAGAGGAGAGTCCTATGCTGAAGCAGGTTACTCTAGTTGTGCAGACAAGTGCATCTGCCTAATGGGAAGCTTTTATGGGAGCCGGTCTCGAAGCTTGGAACACTCTGGCTTGAAACAAATTTATTTCTTTGCTTTTTTTTTCCTAGAAAAGTGTGGTTTGTTACATAACTCATTGCTTCCAGTCCCCAAGTTATTTGTTTGTGGCTGGTGTGTGTGTGCGTATGTGTAAGGCTACTATGCTATATCACTCTAGCTTTCCCTTTCCCACCCATTCCTTCCTTCCAGAGCCCTGTAGAGCTACAGTACACCTTTACGAAGCTATGGTGATCTAACACTATGTACCACTTTAGAAAGTTCTATAAACTACAGAAGGAGGGTGTTGTAGTGCTACAATGCTATAGTGCAGCTCTTTTGAGCTGCTCTATCTACCAGAGGTTTATAGAATGCTCAGTGTGCCCACAAATTACACTATTAATACTTCCAGGAAGCTTTTCACAGCTTCAGTTTGGCTTAAAGGAAAAAAAAACATAGAAGGAGATGTGGGTGCAGCCACCACATCACAAGTAATGATCTCTCACACAC